CCCCGCTTCAGGACAGTAGTTCTTTCCCTGAACCTGCTCCAGTCCCCTCCACACATGCTGAGATCATGCTGCACCCTGCCTGACACCCTCAGGGGGCAGAGAAGACGGCAGTGTCCAGGTATCGGCAATCCAGGGTTGTGGGCACTTCCAAGGCGTCTGCAAAGCAGCAGGAGAGACGACCTTGACAACGCATCAAGAATGGGCAGGAGGTCAAAAAGATTGCCTGCTACGAAAGGCGGGGAGGCAGGAAGGCAGGCAAACACCAGCCTGAGCTTGGGACAGCGCACAGGGCCTGGTGGTGCCCTGGCCCCAGCCCATCAGCTGAAGTTGCCCCGCTGGGCATTCCTTTAAAAGTCTGGAGTTCTTGAGGGTTCCTATGAGGGATCCTGAAGAGGAGCTGATCATAAAAGACCAAAAAGAAACCCCAGTGGTCTGTTGGGAAGGGCAGATGGCACGTTCTACCAGAACCACTCACCAAAAAAATTTTTTTTTCAGGACTTTGGATTGAACCCAGGTTCTTTGCTCTGAGCTGCATCCACAGCCCTTTTTAAATTTTATTATTTTTTTAAACTTTGCATACAGGATTTTGCTAAGTTGCTCAAGTTGGGCTCAAACTTGTGATTCTCCTGCCTCAGCCTCCCACAGTGCTACAATTTCAAGAGTGCAGCACCATGCCCTGCTCATAAATTATTTTTTTTAAGCCCTGGCTTCAAGATAAAGGAACCAGATCCCCTTCAAGGCATATCTAAAGTCCTGGATGAAACTTACTTCCATCCACGAGATTCAAAGCCAGAGAAGCACTTTTCCCTAAGTAGCTGCCTTCTGTCACAAAAGTAATCTTTATTTTTATTTCAAACATAAAAACAAGGCACGGAGGGAACAGCCTATACCCCAGTCTCCTTCCCTAGATGTATCGGAGAGAGACAGGGCTGTTTTCCAGGGACATTTTCCTGGGAAGAGCACAGCTAGCAGCCGGAAGGCCTGGGACAGCAGGGACAGTTTTTCTGCCGAAGCCCTAGAGAAAACAGAAGCATCTGGCCCCGGGAGCACCAGGCAGAGCAGGGAAGGAGGGGTCTGCCGCCCGGCAGGCCCGGGCACGCGGGAGCCCCCGGCAGTGCAGCCTGCAGGGTCGGGCTGGCCGGGTCGCTCCCATCCGAGGTCTGGCAGACAAGCTGTGGGCCCGCCACACAGGGGACACTCAGTAGTGGAGACAAGTATTTCTGCACTGAACTGAGCACGCTCGCGTGCAAGTGCCCACGCACACACCATGGCACCCTGACAGGGCGTCTCGGACGGAGTGGGGACAGCGAAGTCACTCATGTGGATTCTGTGCTTGTCTCTGCTGTTCGCTCAGACGGAGGAGTTGGCTGCAGCCCAAAGGACACAGGCGGTGTCCCTGAAGAGGCTGCCATGCCCCGGCCAGCCGACGGGCCCTGGCACTCGGCTGCTGCTTTAACCAAGGTCACCGCAGCGCTTCCTCGAGGAGCTCAGCGGTCCTGTGGGAGGGGTTCTGCCACAGTGACCGGAGCTTGGTCACCGCCGGGCCGGCCGGGCTCCCTGCACAGCTATCCGCCAGGCGGCCCTGGGACAGGCCCCTCGGCTGGCACCAGCCCGACGGGCTGCCCGTGGCTTCTCTTCCTCTAGGCTACTCCCACGGAGGCTCCGAAGTGCTCCCAGCTCACTGACGTGGGGCTCACAGGCTGTCCAGCTGGCCTGTGCCCTCGATAAGCCTGTGCACACCCACCCCGATTCCGGGGCGCACCCCACACACACCCCGGAAAGGGAGGGCCACACCGATGCCTGGCCCTAACCCCGTGTCTGCACGGAGCCTGACCCAGGGCCGCCGCCACCTCAGACAGCTAAGCAGAGCCCCGCCAGCCACTCCTTCCGTGCTCCCCTCACCCCCAGGACCCCCGGGGGTGTGAAGGTCTGACCCCCCTTGTTACCGATGTGACTCCGCAGTAGTCACCTGCCACTGTCACAGATGACAAAAAGGGGGCTGCCTACC